ACCAGCGAGCCAATCTGAAAGGCTCGTTAATCTGATCACTCAAAATGCCCGGATTACAGCGGACCTGCGAGCCAATCTTACAGGCTCGTTAATATGATCTTTTTGGAATGCCCTGACCTGATTACAGGGGGTTAGTGCTGGTTCGTTGTTGTCTTTACAAATCGGGTTGGGCGAAACCTGAGGATCAGTAAGTATTCTTCATAATAATAAAGGTGGTGATGAGGGCAGTGACTACGTCAGCGGTACTTACATCTTCGCGAGACATGCCCATCGACTCGTCACACACCTGTTTCAGTTTGGCGTTCGCCAACCGTATACTGGTCCCACATCTTACCTGAACTCAACCATCACAGTAAATCCCTCCGGCGGCAAGCAAGAGGCTCAGCCTATGCAATGGTCGAGTTCGTCCCATCCACGTTCCCTGTCCACACTTCACCACTCGTCCCATTCAGACTTTGTCGAGATGCTAGGGCGAGCGGGACACGTCCAACGCGTTCCTTAGTCTGCCCAATCCGAGTTTTCCTCCACGAATGCTAATCTCCTCTTCGAACAGCGGCCTCTTGATCGAACCCCAGCACAAACTGTGGAAACGTTGTTTAGTCACCATTCCGAGCCTGGCGYCATAAGGGTTCTTTCCCAATGCACTCTAYCGACCAAGTTTTCTGTACTCGTGTCCAGTCTGTAGGTGGTGTGCGGGGTACACCGTGGCTAGCCCATTCTCTCCYTGATAGCTTGCGTACTAACCCATCACGTTCCCCCCCGCACAGTCTCACTGCTAACTGTATGCCAATCGGGTACACTTCAGTCGTTAGCCGAGCACATCGTGTGCACGACATARCTTCTCTCCTTCCCCCTGCTGACCGCTCTCTAGTGCGCACCAGTCTAATGCCGRCTGGGTACCCCTGGCCCGTCCGCCCGGTTTCCCCTCTTCTCGCAACAACCTGTGCCTCCGTGCAAGAGCGTTCCCCACGACTCGCATAGTTCCCGTTGCAACAAGYTCCGAGGACGTTCCGCGGGGAACACYGTGCACGCTGGCTTGCCCTCTCTGTCCGAATCCCCCGTCCTTCCCGCAGCTCTYTGCTATATTCAGTTTGAAAATGCGGGTTCCATACTCCGAAGCTCGCCCCCTGCATTTCCCCCTTGGCCACGGGCCCTAGCGGTTCAKTGATGCCTGTAAAACCAGGCTCTTAGGCCCGAAGTGGCCACGGCGTCGGGGCAGGGGACCCCATGTGAATTCACCGGTACGACCAATATCTGCACGGTACCTCGCGAAGCCGTGTGGCCCTTCAGACCCAGCAGTACCAGCCTYATAGAACGCAGTAATCTCCAGGTAGCAGAATTAGTCCCTTGAGCCAGCCAAACTGGGTCCAGTTCCACAGATTTGAAATACAACTCAGCGGCCAACTCCCCCTTAGTCAGCATATATCCAATGGTTAACACTTTTATCTGCCGCTGACCACACTTGTCCATAGAGAACCCTTACCGACAGTAGACGGTACCATAYAGCACCATAGAACCGGAGCAATTGTAGCATTCTCTGACCAATCGCTGGATCAACGTGCGTAAGTGTCCCAGGCTAGCACACACACCCAAAATAGTGGTACCGCGTTGGTGTGCCACGGGAATGCCGAATCAATGAAGGTAAGAAGGTAGGCAGAGTCTTTTAGCAGCATTACCCATCCSTACCATACTGAACCGAACCCTGAATAATAGCCTGTCCCCGATCGGAAATCAACAGGTCGTGGCGTCACCATGCCAATACCGCGTCTGA